TTTCCCTGCTACACCTCTGCTCTGATGCACTGGAGTAGACCTATGAGGTTGCACAGCTCAGTCTTTAACTGGGGAGTAACATACCAGTACCTCCTTCTTGAGGGTCTCACCCAGTCTCTGTGACTAATTCTCTTGGAGGGCCTCTCACTGGGTTTCGAGGCAGAGCTGGCCCCTCATTAGGAGGAGGAGGAACGTTCCTGCAGGCCGCAAACGCAGCTCTCCTCTCTCCCAAAGATCTGCCTTCGCATGTAGACTGGGTAGTGACGGTAGTTTAGATCATTAGAGACACAAAAATATTCAAGGTAGAAAAGATAGAGAAACAGTATTCTTTTTTGCTGAATATCACACTAAAGTGCTTCATAAATATTTGGAAATTTAGTCTAAAGTGCATATGAAATGACTTTTAGAAAAACTGAATCACACTAATGATTCCTTTTAATAATATTTGTTTTCATTCAATACTCATATATTATCTGATTGTATGAAATTTCATTTGGAACGATTTCTAAAGGGAGATATATATTTTTAATCTTGTCTCATATATGAAAACTGCAGTGAAATGTTTTAATTTACATACAGGTTTTTGTAACTTTTGGAATATCAGCATTTTTGTCAATACCTAGTTATTATGGGTCATACGTTGAAGGTGAACTAATCGCATCAGTGTATTTTAATATTTCATGAATGCCTGTTGCCTATTGCCCTCAATTTTGAGCCTTCTGAGCCTTCAGAAAAGACAGTGTCCACTTCTTGATACACTTAACACAACGCCATGGGAAAGTAACATTATCTTCTTCCTTGTCTAAGGTGGAAAATAATGGACTTTGAACTCACACCCAGGTCTAGTTGACTCCCCAGCTGTGCTCTTAACTGATGTATTCAACCACCTCCTGGTTGCGTGCTGCTCCCAGGCACGTGAAGTAGTGCTGAATTGGCTAAATGTTCATTTTTTTGTTCAGTATGAAGTCCTTTTGGTCTTCAGATACTTGACATATAGGATAAACAGAGTGTCAAAGGAGGGTTGTTGATTTATTGTTGTAAAGCGTGAACCAATTACAGCTCTTTTTGCTTTACACTAGGAATTTCTAGCCAGGAATTTCATGGCCAAAAAAAAAAAATGCATAAGTAGAATTGAATATGGTGGTGTGTTTCTGTTTTTCAGTGAAAGCTGGGAAGAATGTGCTCAAAGGGAAACCTGGGAAGAAGCAGCTCTTCACCTGAAAAATGTTCACTTTGCCTCGGTTGTGAATTCTTTCGTTGAGGAAGAGGATTACCATTATGTCACTATTCTAATGAAAGGAGAGGTGGACGCGACTCATGATTCAGAACCAAAGAATGTAGAGCCTGAGAAAAATGAAAGTAAGAAAACTGTAAATAATGCATTTTCTATGAGAGCATATGGTCTGAAGGAAGATTACATTATGTTGCCATAGGAAGAGAATTAGATTAGAATATAATTATACTTCAGTTAGAATGTAAATGTACTTAAATCCTGGATACATAAGGACAGAACAGGAAAGAGAACTGGGCCTAGAGCCAGACTACTCGGTTCGCATCCTGGTTCTTCTACTTAGAGGTTTGTAATCTTGGACAAGTTATTTAGGTCTCAGGGCCTCTTTTCTCACTTGTGACAGTAGTACCTACTTCAGATGCGTTGTTGTAAGCATAAAATGAGTTCATACATACAACGGGCCTGGCCTAGTGAACACAGCAAGTACTCAGTAAATGTTAGTTTTACTGTTAGTGTTTAATTTTGTTTCACACTGTGATTTTTAAGCAAAACATTTAAGGTGCCTTCCTCAGTTTTCTCATCTGTGCAAGAGAGGTAAAACTTTCTTTTATAGAGAATGCTTAACCTGACAAAACACTTAACTGTTACCTTCTGTGTTGAATTGAGTGCTCTGAAAGCTTTAATGACAATAACTGATATTCTGTTATTTAGTGTGTACTAAGCATTGTTCTTTAGGGCTTTGCATGTATCATCTCTCTTCAGATTTCATAAAACTGCATGATAAAAGGAACTAAAGAGTAAAATATCAAACTTATTCAATATATTATTTGCCATAAGAAACCTTATCCAAGTGGTCTCATGTAGGATCACTCCTCTAAACGTTTAATTTCTCCTCTAATAGCGAAAATCTTTTCATTCACAAATACTTGCTGAGTACTGTGTGCCAGACATTGTTCTAAGCACTAAAGAAAAAGTGGTGTTTAAAACAAAGTCGCTGCCCTCCTGGACTATACATTTTATCTGGGGGGGGGGGGG